ATCCTTTGAAGGCGAGAATTTAACAATTAGGTTGACTGTTTTCATTGTCCTACTTTCAGAGTAATTAAAACGTTTTAACATGCTCATTTTTTTAATTAATTTCGAAGTTCCAATAGCCGTTTTTTATCGATCTGCAGATAGTTACCACAGGTATAATTTTGTTCGCATTAAGGTAATAGAACTTGCTTTTCTTCAAATATTTGAGTTCGTTTTGACAACAGTATAACTATTTGTATTTAAACATAAGATATTTACTGGACACTTATCTCTTGATACCTGTTTCAATTCGAATGTGAATGAACGAAACACGATGAGACGATATGGGCAATTAATTCCACCAAACAAGGGGGACAACTTTCCGCTAGAGCGCAACAGGTTTCCACTGAGTTAATATCAACCCTCTCTCTCTCCCTCTTGGAAAGACGTTTTGTGGGTAGGCAGTGAGAGCTTAAAGTGCAACGCCACCTAGCTATCCATTATAATTTGTCAAGCAATTTTGAAATTGAAATCATTTCTCGACTGATGAATGGTGTGTGGAATAAAAGCACTTTCTCGCACACTTATCACAAAAAAAATTCACCTAGCTTTCTGAAGCATCTTATGCACCGTCGCCGCTATCCATGCAGCTGTTCAACAACTCCCATTCGTCTTCGGAAAGTGGTGTATGTGAAATTGGCATAAAAATAGGCAAAGAAAAACTTCAACCCGGGGCCAGGATTTTATTCCTTTCACAAATCTGCAAGAGGAGGGAGAGAGAGGGAGAGAGAGAAAGAGGAGGTTCTTAAATTGTCAGAGCGGTGAAAAAATACCCTGGAGGTTGAAATGAGTCACTGAGTGGATGAATCTTCTCAAATTTGATTTCTTGGATGATATTTTTAACCCTGCTCCTCTACCAGGCTCAACTTCCTTTTTTTCTCCTGATTCGACGTCTCTCATTGAGTGCTTTCACTGTTAGCGATCTTGTACCCTCCAGTTGTGAAATTTTTCATTAACATAGTAATGCGCTAAATCAAGCAATGAATTAAATTTGAGCAAAATTGGGATGAATAGAAATACATGACTCTTGAAACCTTGAAAATGACAAATATCGTCAATTCCCCAACCCCCCCCCCCTCCCAACTCAACGCTTTTTTTCGGCAAATTATTCGTATTTAAATGCACTGTTTTGCATCTCTTCGTGATTAAGATGATTAAATCGTCAAACACTATTGACTTGACAAGAGGCGGTTGCTATAAGTTATGAATATCTTTTTTGAATATTCGCTTTTTACTACTCTGTTACAATTGAGCATGCATGTAACATCTCTTTGAATTGTAAGCAGACGTCGAAGTTAGGTATTATAGGTGTTCCTTTCCAGAACATTGTGTATATATATAATAGAAGGACAAAAAGGCCACGATCTTTTACCCTCCCCATCTCTACATACCAAAGTATATCCACTTGGCAAGAAATAACAAGCTGCTTAGATCTTCTCCCTGTTTGCACCCAAAGCCACAGGTTGGAGCTTTTTCCAACCATATGTGTGTAGCTTTAGCACATGTGTAAGTGACACCTTTTCAGGTTATCGTGTATTTCAAACCCCACTGGGGATTGGCCTCTATTTGGTAAGAAACATCACGTTTTCAGTGGGAATTGAAGTAGTTGCTGTCAAACTTTCCTGTTTGTTTTCCCATAATGTGGGAATAAAAATTATATAATCCTTAGTAAATCTTTTGGACAACCTATTTCTTTCACTCTAAGCATGAAATGGGAAAGGATAAATTCTAGAATTTTGAGAAATCTGGCAATACTCCTCTCCGAATAAAGAGTGACCACAATGTAGCAAAGTGCCTTCTCTGCCATCATATTGCCCACGCTAAGGCGTATATATCCAAGATTACTAATTGCGGGGCGGGAATAGTCGGAGGAATCATTTGAAAGCACTTTGACACAATACCTGGAGGTGATTTTAAGATAGACAGGAGCAGTAGGAGTTCACCTAGACTACCCAATTGGCTGGTTTAGGTAAGAAAATTGATCTAAGGGGATCTAGACGAGTGGGTGAGTAAACGAATGTAAGGGGTATTTGTCAACATGCAGCAGAAAGAATGTTCTTTAATTTGAACTGAGGTTAGAACGAATTAAATATCAATCTCAAATTTTTACGCAGTTTCACCTGATTGCTCTAACTTCGGAGTCATTTAGAGTGGTTCATTAGTAGACTCCGAATTCTCATTCTCGCATTTATTAGAAGTAAGATAAGGTTAATGTGGAAATGTCTACGATCTCTAAGTTATGACATTAACCAGCGAGAAGGTTCCTTGTCAAAACTTATAACTTTTTGTTATCGATTCGAAAGAGTATGGTCATATGTTCTCCGATTTCTCATGGAATACTTAGCAAAACCTCGATGTTGTTAAAGAGGAAATGGAGGGGGGGGGGGCACTTTGCCCTATCGCTGAGTAGACTCTACTTATTATCGCGTTGTCATAGGGCTTCTTTCCCCTAACCCCCCCCCCCTTCTATGCATTGGAATTTTGTCGGCATTGTAAATTGAAAAAAAAGGAGAGAGAGAGAGAGCTACACGACATGGAGGGCGAAGAACAGCTCTCCACCCCATGCAGCCCTTCCATGGACGACTACTACTTGTTTATATCTTCTGCATATCAGGAATTTTCCTCTGGAGAGAGGGGTTTTCGGTTGAATCAGGCCTTGAAGGGGAGGGGCGGGCCGGGCCGGGGCGGGGCGGGGCGGGGCGGGGCG